GTTTGGGTCAGTGATTAGAGTGTCGGCCCGTAGACCAATGAATCCTGGGTTTGATCCCCATCAAGGGTACATACCTCAGCTGGGGTTCATCCTGGCCCTGGTCAGGGTTGTGCAGGAGGCAGCCAATTGATGTGTCTCTCTCATATCAATGTTTCTCTCTCTCTCTCTACCCCCCTCTCTCCCTCCTACTCTGTCTGAAGATAAATGCAAAAAATGTCTTCAAATGAGGATAAAAAATTAAAAAAAAATAACTAGGACTTTTTTTTGAAATTATGAACCAGAAGATGAAAAATTTTTATAAATCCAATAATATACAGATTACCAAAGCAGATTTTTCCTTTTTGATGAACAATTAACCAATACTTACAAGGCATAGTTAAGATTTTTAAAATAAAAATCTGTGTCAATTTTGTATCCTTTATTTTAAAAGAGATAGGTAAAACAATTATTTGTAATTACTGAATGACAGTTTTATTAATAAATTCCTTTATTTATCATATGCTTCAATGTATGTATACGTCAGGTCAGTGAACTATGATGATGATAAGAGCAAGAAAACATTAAGTAAACTAGCCTCACTTCAGGAATATTTTTTTAAGCAATCTGCAAGTTGCTGCTGTATATATGCCAATACTTTATAAATCTATCAGTGCTTTTCCATATTTTTCAGATACAAGTTTGAGGATGTGTTATAGGAATGGTCAACAAACACAATGTAAGGTCCTCCCAGATGTAATCATCTCTGCCTCCCTACGATCAAGCCCCACCCAGATATATAAAAGGAATTTGATGAATTCTGTGTAGGTGGATGGGTGGGTGGATAAGTGAATAATTGAGTTTGTTGCTCCTTCTAGGCACTCCAAAGTCAATACTTTTTGTCTCCCACACTGTGATTAGATGCAGCAATATAACCTGTTCTGGACAATAAATTGTGAAAAGAAGTGATGTGTCATTTTCAGACTGGAGCATTTATACACTGGCAAAAATCCTTCCAGGTTCTTTTTCCACTGCTCAATGACTATGAGAGCATTCTCCAAAAGAATGTAATGAGATGAGCAGAATCCTCTGCTCATCCCAATGAAAACACAGTATGAGTCATACATTTTTATTGGGTTAAGTCATAAAAATTTTGGATTTTTGTTACAGCGATATATTCTGACTTAAACAAGCAAGGTAATGACATTTAGTCTATAAGCAGAATAAAAAATACAAAACAAAATTAAAAAAAACAAGATAAAATATTTACCATTTATTGTTTATAAGGGATATAAACTGTGCTAAATAAGCACTTTATACATATAAGCTCATTTCACAACAAATGGGTAGAATGGGTAGTATAATATTTCCATTCTAATTATAAAAATGGAAGCTCAGATTAATTTGTCTAAAGTTACTCAGGTAGTGGTAAAAACAGAATTTGTTCTCAAACTTGTATGGTATTCAAGCTCTATCAAATTCCTGACCCTCCATAATTTAGATAAAGGTCAAATTCTCATTTCTAAGAGGTGGACTATATGACTTCCAAGACCCCTTCTGACAATGATCCTGTGAGCAAAAATAGAACTCAGTTCAGAATTCATATAATATCTGTGATAGTGTACTCCAGGTCTAAGAAGAAGGCAATCAATAAATAAACCAATAATAAGAGGAGAAGAGGCCCTGGTCATTTTGGCTCAGCAGTTGGAGCATCAGACTGTGGACCAGAGAGTCCTGGGTTCGGTTTCCGCTAGGGGCACGTACCAAAAATAAAAAAATAAGAGAAGAGGAGGAGGAGGAGAAAGAGCAATAGGCTCTTCCAACAGGCCTGACATAGATACATTTTACTAGCCATCAGGGCCACTGTGACAAGAACAGAAAGGGAACCTACAATAGAAATTGAAAGCAGAACTGTATCAAGCCCACTGATACTGCCTCACAGCAGACAAGGAAGGAACTGTTAAGAGGCCTATAGGAGTCAGTGGCCATGCACTCAATGCTGGGCCAAGTTGCAGAGTTCTAACATAAACACTGGTCAGTGGTTAAAATAGAAAGAGCTGGGTACAGATGACTGATCATTAGGTTTATAGAAAAGGTGTTTCCACAACTGTCGTGCATTTGGACCAATCTGAAACATATAATACTATGGAGAGTGTTTTTTTAAGACAGAAAGGGGAAGGAACCAGCAGTTACTCTTTGAAGTTCCTTAAGTTCCTACCATGTTCCAGGCACTGTGTATGTGAGTTCATGTGTTAATCCTCACAACCTTGGTAGATGTAATGGTTTTACATGTCAACTTGGCTGGGCCTCGGTGTCCAGATATTTGGTGAAACATTCTGGATGTTTCTGTGAAGGTGCTTTTATGGATGGAATTAACATTTCAATCAGTGGACTTTTTGAGTAAAGCAGATTTATCTTCCATGTTGCAGGTGGGATTCATCCAATCAGGCAATTGCCCAAATATCACAAAAGGACTGTTCTATCCTGAGCAAGAAAGAATTCTGCAAGCATACCACCTTTGGACTCAAACTGCAGCTCTTCCCTGGGTCTCCAGCCTGTGGGTTTACCCTGCAAATTTTGGACTTTCCAAGCCTTCACAATCATATGAGCCAGTTCCTTAAAATAAATCAATCTCTTTTTATGGAGATACACACACATACACAATTAGTTCTGTTTCTCTAGAGAACCCTAATATAGTAGATATTGCTCTGTACTTCACCATTCAGGAAGATGACAGCCTGAAAGGACCCATTCTCTTTCCGCACAATATCACACAGTAAAATGCCCTCAGGACTCACAACCTAGCAAAGAGGTGGAGGGTAGTGAGAAACAGGGAAACCTTGTAACCACAAGCCACATATCCCAAGGAGTCCTTACAACACTAGGATCATACATGTACCCAGAGCCTTGATGTACCCAAGTGATGAACTATTCTTCGTCTGGTCTCCTCATTCAGTTATTTTGGATAAAAAAGTAAAATATTCCTATTAAATCAACAACATTTGAAGACTTTGAAAGAAGAAGCAGGGGCTACATACATGTTCAGTCTTACAAAGAATAGGGAAGGTTAAAAACTCTTAACATATGGGCTACAAAATCAACTTTGAGCTGAGCATAAGATGACAAGCTGGCGTTTTAGGTTAAATATTAGATATCATTGAATAAGACACTGAAAATTTGTATTTAAGGGCAGCTTTGGGACAAAGGATTACTGCTACAGCAGAGTAGGGGCATTAATACTTTGGATTTGTGGGGAGGTCAAGGGAATTTGAATTAGAACATCCCCTGAGAGCAGAAGGGCTGAAAGCGACTGCCTTCGTCATAGAATAGTGTGGAGTCAGGATTGATAGTAAATTGTTAGTGGGAGAAGAGATTTTAAACAGAACTAGGACTTGGGGCCACCCTCTGGAAAATGTGATCCAAAGACTGGAAAAGTCCTAGGCATTAGGGGTCTGAAATTCCAGGTGGGCTCCAGCCTGGGGTCCTGTCAGTTGGACGGGAGACCGCGAAGCCCCAGTCCTTTCCCCCCAACCCCCACACAGCCTTACCTTCTGTTTAAGGTAGTGAATCGAGTACTTCGAGTACTTTGTGACTGCAGAGGGGCGGGATGTGAACTTGGTTGACAAGTGCAGGTTGCTGAGGGCCCTGAGTGCTGGCGGTACCGGGATGGCGACCCCGGGCATCAGGAAAGCCAGGAGTAGAAGCAGGAGGACGAGGAGCCCCATAACTCAGGCTGGTGTCTGCAGTGCGGGTGGAAGGTAGACCGACAGATGCACGAAGCCAGAGCCGCGCCCACCCCGAAGCCCCGCCCACCTCAAGTTGGCTCCTCCCCGGGGGGACCAAAAGTCCACCTGCCCCTCAGCAAGCCTGCCAAAACCCAGGTCACCCAAGCCACGCCGCTCCCGCCCCCGTGCCAGAGGGCACCACCACATTTCCTTTTCCTCTTGTGCCATCTCCATTTTAGAGTCCACACTCCAAATCTGCCCTCATCATCCCAGGGCCCCATATTACCTGATCGCGGAATCCCATTCTTAGTTATATGGCCCCCTTTCCGCCCAATCACCCTTTATTCTCGCCCTAATCGTCACCTCCAAACCCTACCCTGTCCGTCTTACTTCCACTGCCACACCCCTTGCCCTCTGCAAGTCCTATATACTGTGGTAACAATAGCTACCGTGACAATTTACTGATCGTTCACTACATGTCACTACATCACTGGGCATAATGCACACACATCATCTCCAACAACCATCACAGAAATCTTGTCGTGTGTATGACTGTTGTTCCCAATTACATAAGAGGAAACAGGTTCAGACAAGTGTGGGGCTCGCCGTGGGTCAACTCAGAAGTGGAGCAGGGCTTCTCAGACAGCCCCGCCTCGCTCCCTGACTCCACCTCCATATGTAAATCAACCACCTTCTATGGTACTCAGTCCGTCGGTCAACCCGCACCTCCGTGTTACCCACACAACGCATTCCTTGATAGAGGTCGCGAGAGGCCCAGGTAGCCCCGGAATCCAGCTTGGTCCAGGTCCCTTTTTCCGTTCACGCCCCTCTCTTCCCCGCAGCACGCTTCAGCCCCGTGTCTCTCTCGGCCTCCCTCCTCCCGCTGCCACCCCCTTTCCGTCCCCGCCCCCGGGCCGTGCCGACTCCTCGGGAGATTCCCCGCCCGTCTTCACCGCTCCGCCAACCCCCTTCTTCACCCAGCTTTCACCCGCCCTCCAGTCGCCAAGCTGAAGCCCGGTCGGAGGGGCGCTCCCACCCCTTCCCGAATCCCTAGGTCCAGCTGGCTTTGTCTGCCCACAAACTTTGCAGACAGTACCACTGCTCAACTGGTCGGGGAAACACTCATCAAACCTGCATTTCCACCCAGTTTGACGAAAATGGTCGTTCCCAAACGTTCACAGCATATCCTGCTTAATCTCCGCCCTCGGCGGCGCCTTCTTCTGATTGGCTCTGAGTAACCACGGCCGGCGCGTCACTTCCGGCGGAGAGGGACGCGGAAGATTCGATCGGAGGGCGCTGGGCTTATGGCTGCGTCCTGCTTGCCTGCTTTAGAGTGTTGCCCGGGCAGGTCCCGGTCCTCTGCCTCGGGTGAGTAGCCTGGGGAAGAGGTTCTCCGGGAGGGCGAGGGCCGGAAACTCCTAACGAAGCCCTTAACGTTATTATGGATGAGGCTCAGACGTGCTTTGTTATTTTTTCAGGAGTTAGCCTGTTCTATCAAAGGTCATTTTAGTTTTAGACAGTGCTCTTGCAATCGCCGGCGTTTATTGAGCGTTTGCTGTGTTATCGAGCTAGACACGGATGAGCGTCTGGAACTGGAAATACAGAAGGGAAAAGGTACTACTCCAGTTTTTGAGGTGCTCGGAGATACATATTCAGCTGGCTGCTATACCGAAATAATATCTGCTGAGAAGGGATCTTTTCCAAACTGCTTTGATGGCCCAGAGGGAAAAGTGATTAACTGAGCGGTGTGCTCAAACCAGAAACTGGAAAGTTTTGTAGATTCCTTCCTTATCGCTCACCTCTAGCCATTCACTATGACAATAGCCTCCCAGCTGGTTCTCCTTCCAAGCCAGTTAACCACATTGCCAGACTGATAAAGCTCAAATCTAATCAGGGCACTCCCGATGTAAAACCTTTCTATCGCTCCTAGTATTTTCCCTCAGATGTAAGTCTGAACTCCTTAACATAGGTTACAGGGCCCTTCTTGCCTGGCCTTTGCTTACCTCTCCAGCTTTGTTTTTCACCACTCCGTCCCTAGGTACCAGCCATACAGAATGTCTGTATGAGTTCCTCAGATGCACCATCCTCCTTCACGTTCAGTTATTCATTTTGCAGATACTTTTTTAAGTCCTTCCCTCGTCTGTGCCAAGAACTTCTAGGTACTGGGATTACAATGGTTAACAAGGTAGATTCTTGTCCTAATGGAATTTCAACCTTTTATGGATGAATGTAAGAGGAATAACAAAGGAACCTATTTGAATTAAGTTGACCTAAGATGGTCTCTCTGAGAAGTTGGCCCTTAAATTGAGGCCTAAGAGATGAGAATGATCCAGCCATTCAACAGAGGAAAGGAAGAACATTCCAGCCTGAATGGGTTGTGCAAAGGCCCTGAGGCAGGAAAGAATTTGGCTTCTTCATGTTCAATGACCAAAGAATAGACCAGTGTTTCTGGAACATATTCAGAAAGAACAGTTGTATGAGATGGGTCTACAGGGATCAGCAGGGACCAGACCACTTACTTAGGGGGCTAATGCAGCAACATAAGCAGGAGATAATAGTCGTTTGCATTAAGGTGGTGGTGGAATATGGGGGAAGAGGGATTGATAATTTTTAGATATAGAAATAGGCTCAAGAAATAGACCTACGGGGGGTAATGTGGGACTTGAGGAAAACAGGAATGAAGAATGATTCCTAGCTATCTGGTCTGTTATTGATGGAGAATGGTGCCATTTACTGAAATGGAGAAAATTATTAGTAGATGTTTGAGAGGAAACTAAGAATTCAGGTTTTTTTATCTATTAAACCTTGAGATATCTATGAGACATCCAAATACAGTTGGCCCTTAAGTAAGTAGTTGAGATACGGAAGTCTGGAGCTTGCAAATATTGTGTGCACCTTTGTGTCACTTCATTGGCAATTATACATTGCCTTAGCCAATGGATTATACATTCCTTGAATACAATGGCCTGTTTTTTTCTGTCTGTAACCCTGTCCCTTTCCCCATCTCTAGAATAGTACTTTGCCTATCATAAATGCAGTGGGCAAACTGTGTTGTACTCACTGAGATTTTCCTGGGTAATGTTTCAAAACTATTTTTCACCAATATTTCTCCAGTTAAAAGAGGTTTTGTTTCGCCCTGGCTGGTGCTCAGTGGTTAGAGCGTCAGCCCTCGGACTGGAGAGTCCCGGGTTTGGTTCCCGCTAAGGGCACTTACCTCGGTTGCAGTTTGTCCCCAGCCCCCAGTTGGGATTGCGTGGGTGGCGGCCAGTCGATGTGTTTCTCTCACATGGATGTTTCTCGCCTCACCCCTCTCCCTCTCGCTGTATCTGAAGATAAATGCAAAAAATATCCTCGGGTAAGGATAAAAAAAAAAAAAGAGGTTTTGTTTCTTTGTTTTTTGTTTATTTAATTTTCTGTCTCCTGCCTACCTCTCTCTCCCCTCTCTAGAATTTTCATATAAGGTTAGTAAATCATTTCTCAGGGGCTTGTTATGACTGCCTTTAGAAAAATTAGACAAAGTATGTGCCCTTGAAGAAGACCATAAGGTAACACCTTAATTCCTGTTTTTATTCTATAGCTAGGTGTTTATTCTATTTTATGTGATTGCTTCCTTCTGATCCCTTTGAAAATAGTTGTAAATTATTATTTGTAAAGCTATCAGACCCCTTACTCTCTCAGGTGTGACCCCACCCCACCGTCACAGGACCCAGAGCTGATTTGATATGACTTCCAACTTTCTCAGGTAGGAACCTAATTCTACACTCAAAGGACAAAGAGCTGATGTTACAGGGCCCCCTATTCTCTCAGGGAGGGAGCACTCCCCACACTCACAGGATCCAGAGATGATGTCAAAAGACCCTATACTTTCTCAGGTGGTCCCACATTCCACACTAAATAAACCCAGAGCTGATGTGTGATCCCCAACTCTTTCATGAGGGAACTCACCCCACACTCACAGGACTCAGAGCTGATATGACAGACTCCCTACTCTCTCAGTTTGGACCCTTCCCAACACTCAGAGAACCCAGAGCTGATGTGACAGGACCATTTGTACTCTCAGAGTGGAAGACCTGCACACAGATGCACACCGCCAGGAAATACTCTTCCCTGCTGCCATCTGGTGTACTTCTTGGGACTAGCACCTATTTACTAGGCATCTGCTCTTACCATTTTGCAAGGACACTTTGAAAGCACCTTACCTCATCCCTAGCTCAGAATGTCTTATGTGCTCATGTTTCCTTTCTGTCTCTGATCCTCTCCTGCATGTGGGGGTCTCTGATTCTCTCATGTATGTGTTCCCATACATATGTGTGTTTTATTTGGTTATTTTCTGTTGCTGATCTGTTTCATATCTGTTTGGTTATTAAACCAGGAAATAGAACCTTGAGGTTAGAGGGAAGGTTGTTCTTTCCCCACATAAGCAAGTGATCAGACATTTCATAGGAGGTAAATTTTGGGAATACATCAATATCACTATTTCCTGAAATAAAGATTTAACAATTTAACTAAACTAACTTATTCTCAGGACTGATTTTATCAGTGAAATATGGAACGAACTACTAATTTAGCTTGTGGATATAAAACTTTTATTTAGTTTCAAAGGTGGGAATAAAGAGGGTCAAAGTTTTGTGCTTGGCATGTTGATTTTAAGTTGATTTTTAAGAAACGAAAGGTGAGAAAGAACCTATGATTCTCATTTCATTTCTTCCTGAGACATTTAGTTGGGAAACCCTGGTTTAGGAAGAGAACTTGATCATAATCACCTTAGCTTTAGAAATTCAGACTCCCAAGCAAGAGTTTGCTGACCTCCTTATCTTGCTCCCCACTCCATATGCTATTGTTTTAAAGATCACCTAAGAAAAAGTAACCTGCTGTGTATGCTGCACTTTTTTTTTTAAGAGAGAGAGAGAGAAAGATCAGTATGAGAGAGAAACATCGATCTGTTTTCTCCTGCATGCCCCCCACTGGGGATCAAGCCCACAACCCAGGCGTGTGCCCTGACTTGAAATTGAACCAGGACCTTTCAGTCCATGGGACGACGCTCAATCCACTGATCTACACTGGCTGGGCTATGCTGCACTTTTTTTAAAATATGATTTTATTGATTTCTTTAGAGAGAGAGGGAAAGGGAGAGAGATAGAAACATCATTGTGAGACACATTGATTGGCTGCCTCCTGCATGCCCCCCATCGGGGATGGAGCCCACAACCTGGGCATGAGCCTTTCCAGGAATCTAACCAGGACCTCTCAGTTCATGGGATAACCTCAGTCCACTGAGCGACACCAGCCAGGCTATGATGCACTTTTTTTTTTATCCTCACCTGAGGACATTTTTCCATTTTTTGTTCAGATAGAGTGGGAGGGAGAGAGAGGGAGAAACATGGACATGAAAGGGACACATCGAGTGGCTACCACCCGCACAACCCAACCAGGGCCGGGAACAAACCGCAACCGAGGTACGCGCCCTTAGCGGGGTCTCTCCGAACTTCAGGTCGACGCTCTAACCGCTGAGCCAAACTGGCCAGGGCTATGCTGCACTTTTTAAACATTACCTGCATAGTACTCATTTCACCTAAAGTCTAAGACCCTGTTCCCCCATTTTCCAAGATGCCCTATATACCCAATATTACCTCATTGTCTTTGCTATGCATTTGTATGCAAATTCCCCTTCGTTGAATTTCTTCTGTTAATCTGATTGTGTTCATTTGATTATTAGCCCAACTGTTAGAACTTACAAGATGTGAGGAAAATAATTAATGTTATTACTCCCCACAGCACTGATGAACTGGCCATGTGAAATTAATGGCAGGAACACTGCTAATTTCTGGAAACTGCTGCAGCTGAGAGATCATGAACATCTGTCAGCAAAGGTAAACATTTTTGTTCACTCTGTCAGCCTTCCTGGTCTAGTGTGAATTTAGAAGTGCTGCAAGTTCTTTTGGTAGAATTTAGAAGAGCTGCAAGTTCTTTTCTTCTCTTACATTTCTTGGACTTCGAGAGTCATGAGGTGTTTTTTGTTTGTTTGTTTGTTTGTTTGTTTGTTTGAGTCATGGGTCTGTTTACATTGTGAAGATCTGTTTCAGCTTCTGCATCTGGCAACTGGGGTTCATTGTCTGGCTCTAGCTCCAGAGCCTGGCTATGGGATCTTGGTTACAGATCTGGGTTCTGTCTCCACAGTCTGTGGTCTGGTGTCTGGAGTCTCTTTGGGTGTGGCTGTATGTCCTGGGTCCACAGATAAACAGGCAAGGAGAAACCTGGAGGCAAATTTTCTCTCCTGGCTCCAGCCATGGTGTGAAGGGCAGAGGGTGTCTTGGGATGAATGGGCCTGGAGAGTCCTTGACCTGAATTCTGCATCTCAGCTCTAGCCAGATTGTGGAGGCCAAAGGGGTTGCCTGGTGAAAGGGGCACAACCTGGAGGCAAATACTTCATCCTGACTCCAGCCCATCATGTGATGGGCAGAGGGGTGCCTGGGGTCAAGGTTGAGAAGAGACCTGGAGTCAAATTCTTCATCTCAGATTTAGCCTAGCCTGTGATAGACAGTGGAGCCAGGCTGCTTGGGGAAAAGGGCAAAGAGAGACCTAAATGCAATTGCTCCATCCAGTTCCAGCCAGCCTGTGAGGGGGAGTGGGAGTGCCTGGAGTAAGGAGCAGTGTGTGATTTGGAGGCAATTTCTCCATCCTGTCTCTGGCCTGTGTTTGAGGATCAGAGGGGATGTCTAGGGTAAGCAGTGCACTTAGCTGGCTGGAGTTCTGTGAGCACTTTCTCCACTCTGTTTTCACATGATGAGCATTTTTCTTGACCATTTTCCCCTGGGACATGTCTTCTGGGCACAGTTTAAGTGAGCACTTCTGGAGGGACCACCTGTGGTGAGCACATCCTGTGGACCAGCTCCCTAGGGACATGTTCTTTGGCCCAAATTTATTTATTTTTATCCTCACCCGAGGACATTTTTCCATTTTTTGTTCAGATAGAGTCGGGAGGGAGAGAGAAATAGAAGCATCAACGTGAAAGGGTCATATCGAGTGGTTGCCACCTGCACGACCCAACCAGGGCCAGGGACAAACTGCAAACTGCAAAAATGCCCTTAGTGGGAACCAAACCCAGGACTCTCTAGACCGCAGGATAGCGCTCTTCTGCTGAGCCAAACCGGGCAGGGCTTTGGCCCAAATATAAGTGAGAACTTCCAGTGCAGCCACTTCTTATGAGCACAGCTTCCAGGCTGGTTTCCCAGGAATACACCCCCCTGGCCCAAATAGAGCACTTCCTGTGGGACCACTTTTTGTGAGCACTGCCTCTGGACCAGATCTGGGAGTGTGCTACTTCCGGTCCCAGTTTACCTGAGTATGAAACAAGAGGAACACGTGAGCGTCCTGCTGCCACCTGTGGACATTTGGTTGCTTCTGTTCTGAGAGAACTCACTCTTCGGAAGCTGTCCCAGGAGGCGCCACCATGGGAGGAAAAGATGAGGAGATACTTCCCTTGTGCAAGGACTGTTCAGGGAGGTTTGGTCTTCAGAGGACCCAGCGAAGAAAGGGCTTGGTGTGGAAAATTGTCAGGTTTTCAGTTAATTTTAGTGTTGTTTTACATGTGGCTTCACAGCAGTGTGCAAGGTCAGGGCTGGTCCTTGGCTGAGGGTGGTGGAGAAACCTGGGTGCAAGTTCTCTATTCCAGCTTTAGCCAGTGTTTGAAATTCTGTCAGAATTTCCTCAGTGTTTAAGGCTGGATATTATTTAACTGTATAATATATATATTAACATTTTGTTTATCCATTCATCATTGGGCACTTGGTTTTCTTTTGGTTATTGTGAATCATGTTGCTGTGGATATTAGTGTACACATAACTGTTCGGGTACTATTTGAAATGTTTTGGGTATGTACCCTGAAGTAGAATTGCTGGATTATACATCATATCTGTTTCAGTTTTTGAGGACTCTCCATACTGTTTTCCACAGCAGCTGCACCATTTTGCTTTATTTTTTTATATGGAAGAATAATCAAAAGAACCCAATTAAAAAATGGGCAGAGGAACTAAATAGACACCTCTCCAAACAGGACATACAGATGGCTAAGAGACATATGAAGAAATGCTCAACATCACTAATCATCAGAGAGATGCAAATTAAAACAACAATGGGGTATCACCTCACACCTGTCAGAATGGCCGCCATCAACAAATCATCAAACAACAAGTGTTGGCGAGGGTGTGGAGAAAAGGGGACTCTAGTACGCTGCTGGTGGGAATGCAGACTGGTGCAGCCACTATGGAAAACAATATAGCGTTACCTCAAAAAATTAAAAATTGAACTGCCATTTGACCCAGTGATCCCACTTCTAGGAATATACCCTAAGAAGCCTGAAACACCAATCAGAAAGAATATATGTACCCCCATGTTCATAGCAGCACTATTTACAATAGCTAAGATCTGGAAGTAGCTCAAATGTCGATCAGTAGACAAATGGATAAAAAAGTGGTGGTACATATACACAATGGAGTACTATGCAGCTATAAGAAAGATCTATCCTTTGAGATGTCATGGAGGGACTTGGAAAGTATCATCCTAAGTGAAACAAGCCAAACAGAGAAAGACAAGTATCATATGATCTCACTTATTTGTGGAATATAATGAACATAACAGTCTGAGGAACAGGGTAGTCCCAAGACGTGGAAGTGGGGTACAGACTGACAATCCCCAGAATGGGGGGTGGGGAGAGAGATAAACCACAGAACTTATATGCATGTATGCATGAACATGGACATGGACCACCAAGCTGGGGACAGGGTGGAGAGGGAGAGGGAGAGGGGAATCAGTGGGGGGAAAAGAAACATCTGTAACAAAAATTAATTAATTAGTTAAAAATGAAAGAAAGAAAAGAAAGAGAGAGAGAAAGATCATTCATTTTATGGATTGATCACATGTATTTATTCATTCATGTGTTGATGGACACTTGAATACTTTCTTCCTTTTGGTTATTGTGAACAGTTCTGCTATGAATATTCGTGGATAAGTTTAGTTTAACACCACTTTTCAATATTTCCAGGTATATACATGCTTAGAAATGGAGTCGTTGAACTCTGTGGTAATTTTTTAAGGAAATGCCAAACTACTGTACACACAGGCTATACCATTTTACATTCACACAAGATGCTTAAGGGTTCTAATTTCTCTGTATCATTGTCAACATTTGCTATTTTTATTTTTATTGTTTTAAATATGTTTTTATTGCCCGGCTGGTGTAGCTCAGTGGTTGAACGTCTACCCATACACCAAGAGGTCGCTGGTTCGATTCCCGGTAAGGGCACATGCCCAGGTTGTGGTCCCAATCCCCAGTGGGGGGCATGCAGGAGGCAGCCAATCCATGTTTTCTCTCATCAATGTTTCTGTTTCTCCCTCTCTAAAATCAGTAAAGAAAAAAATATTTGTTAATATGTTTTTATTGATTTGAGAGAGAGAGAGAGAGAGAGAGAGAGAGAGAGAGAGAGAGAGGAAGGGAGGGGGAGAGAAATATCAATTAGATGCCTCCTGCCTGCCCCCTACTGGGGATGGAGCCTGAAACTCAGAAATGTGCCCTGATGAGGAACCAAACCAGCAACTTCTTTGTGCATGAGACTATGCCCAACTAACTGAGCCACACCGGCCAAGACAACATTTGTTCATTTTAGTTTTCTTGATTGTAGCCATTATAGTCTGTGAAGAGGGTATCACATCATGATTTTAATTTGCACTTACATCATGACTGGTGTCGAACATCTTTTCTTGTGCTTGTTTACCATTTGTATGTCTTCTCTGGAGAAGGGACTATTCAAGTTCATTTTTTAAAATTTAGTTGTTTGTCTTTTTGTTGGTGAGTTGTAAAAGTTCTTTGTATGTTCTGGATAACAGTCTTATCGGAGATCTAATGTGTAATTATTTTCTTCCATTCTGTGGGCTCTATTTTTCCTCTCTGTTTAACTTCTTTTGATACATAAAAGTTGTTAATCTTGAAAAAAAAATTACATTTATTTATTATTTATTTATTTTTCATGGCTTATGCTTGGTGATGTGAAGAAACCATTGGTAAATCCTAGGTCATGAAGGTTATCCCTGTTTTCTTTGAGAGTTTATGCCTTTATCTTCTAAATATAAGCCTTTTGTTTATTTGAGTTAATTATTGAATGTGATGTGAGGCAAAGGTCTAATTTGAATTGCAGGTGGGTAGTCAGTCGATTAGCACCGTTTGTTGAAAAGACCCTTCTTTATTTTATTTATTGTTGTCAGCCCTTGTCAAACATCAAATGATTGATTCATTGGTTTATTTCTGTGTTCTCAACTAAGTTTCATTTATCTATATGTTTAGTCATGAGTCACATACCTTCATGTTTCATCATCAAGATCAGTTTATGAGTCTGGAGTTCTCTCATATCTACAGTTGTTTTGAAAAATTGTGCAGATTCTGACTTGCTGTGATGAAGATGTTGACCAGACTGGCTCTATTCTCCAGCCATTAATGAATTGAAGCTAAAACCCTTAGGTGGCTGAGCAATGTGGTTCTCTTCTTTGAAGATCTTGTACCTGTTCTCTTTCCTACCCCCTGAACTGGAAAACCACTTACTGTCATAATTCAGGTCATTCTTGTCAATACTCTATCACCACATTTGTTGATTTAATTATCCAAAACTATAGTGTTGCCCTGTATTCCCAATAAAGGGTGAACACCAACATCCAAAAATAAATAAAAAAAAACTGCTTGCTGTTTCTATTACAGATTGTGGCATGATCAAGCTACCTTTGACCAGAATGTTAACTGATTTGAGAAGTTCATCATAAGGACCCTTTGGTTATGGAAAGTAAAGCAAATACCCACACATTTTCATGGGTGTGGGGGCTGAGAAACAAAAGTCATATTTCGGCTCTGAGAATCTAGGGTGTATTTATTTATTATTATTGTTATCATTATTATTATTTTTAATCCTCACCCAAAGAAACATTTTTTGATTTGGGGTGGGGGCATCGATGTGAAAGAGAAGCATTGATCGGCTGCCTCCTGCATGCCCCCTATTAGGGATCAAGCCCACAACCCAGGCATGTGCCCTGACCAGGAATCAAACCACAACCTCTTGTCCATGGGATGATGTTCAGTCCACTGAGCCACAGCGGCCAGGCTGATCTTATCTTTTTTTTCTGTATTGATTTCAGAGAGAGAGGAAGGGAGAGGGAGAGAGAGATAGAAACATCAATGAGAGAAAACATCGATTGGCCGCCTCCTGCGTGTCCCCCATTGGGGATTTGGCCCACAACCTGGGTATGTGCCCTGACTGGGAATCGAACCAGCAGCTTTTTGGTGCATGGGTCAATGCTCAGTCACTGAGTCACACTGGCCAGGCTCTTATCTTTATTAGTAACTGTTTTCCACTTTTGTTCTTGCTTTTCCAGTTTCTTCAGATGGAATTGTAGATCTTCTTTCCTAGTTTATGCATGTAAAATTTTCCATTTACCAATCCTTTAACTGTATCCTATAAATATTGATATGTTGTGTTTTAATTTTCATATCAGTTCAAAATATTTTGTAAATTTTCTTGTATTTGGTCTTTGACCCATGAGTTATTTTAAAAGGTATAGTTTTATTACCAGATAAATAGGGTTTAACTCAATATTTATTGTTATATAGTTCTAATTTACAGTAATTTTATTAATATGAGAGAATATACTCTGTATAAGTCACATTTTTAAAAATTAATGGCCTTGTTAATACTCCAGACTATGGTTTATCTCAGTGAATCTGTCATGTGTACTTGAGAAGACTGTATTCTTCAGTTACTAGATGGAGTGCTCTATAAACATAATTAAAGTGGTTTATACTGCTATTGAGATCTTCTGTGTCCTATTGACTTTTTGTCTAGCTGTTTGACCAATTGCTCAAAGAGAGTTGTTAAAATCTATTATCAAAAAAGTATCTTTAATTCTCTCAATTTTTGATTTATACATATTGAGGCTCTGTAATTAAGCACATAGACATTGATAATAGTAATCTCTTCCTGAATAATGCTCTTATTGTTATAAAATGTAATCTGTGCTAATACTCCTTTATTAAGACCTATTTTATCTGACATTGTTGTAGCCACTCCAGTCTTCTTATGCTTCCTATTGGCATTTCATGTTTATTCCATCCACTTACTTTAAACCAATTCTTGATATTTTAAGTGTGGTTCCTATAGCAGCATATGGTTCAGTGTTGCCTTTACCCATTTGCCAATCTCTTTTAATTTGAGTACTGAAACCAATCATGGTTCATTGATATACTTGAATTGAGTACTGCTGTTTTCTTACTTTATCTCCTCTGGGTTTTTTTTTTTTTTTTCTATTTCTATTTTCTCTCCTTTATTTTGGGGAATATTTCTAATATTCCTTCTTAATTTTATTGGCTTTTTTGATAAGTGTGTGTGTGTATATATTTTTTTGGTTCCTTTGGGGATTACAATATACATACTAACCTTTCAGTCTGCTATAATTTTGTTTAGCATTCTCTATAGTAAAGATCTGGTAGTAACATATGCTCTAATTTTGTTTTTTATTTTTAAATCCTCACCCAAGGATACGTTTTTAAATTTTTATCTTCTGATTTGCGGGGGGAGATACAATGATTACTGCTAACACATTGCCACAAACTAGGCACACAAATTTGCCATTGACTTCAACAAATAAAAGTATCATTTGTCGCCCTGGCCAGTTTGGCTCAGCGGTTAGAGCGTCGACCTGCGGTCCTGAGAGACCCGGGTTCGGTTCCCGCTAAAGGCGCGTACCTCGGTTGCAGTTTGTCCCCGGCCCTGGTCGGTCATGCGGGTGGCAGCCACTCGATGTGTTCCTTTCACATAGATGTTTCTCTCTCTCTCTCTCTGTTCCTATCTCTCCCTCCCACTCTACCTGAACAAAAAAATGGGAAAATATCCTCGGGTGAGGATAAAAAAATATATATATATCATTTGTCCATTTCTCTTGGGAAAATCAACACTCTGCAACAACTTTCCTTTGTAGTTACCATTTGTAGGATGTCACGTCACTTAAGTTTTAATAACTAGTTATTAATGTCATGAATGTAAAATTGGAACTTTGAACTTTTAGTCAGAAGCCATGGTTGGTCTTTCTAAAACAAGCTTTTTTTGTTGTTTGTTTATATTTTTCTAATCTTACCATTAAAAAGCAAGTCATGCTTTAGACACAGTCTTTATTATTTTAGTCACTGTGTCTTCATTGTGCTCCTAGAATTAGATATAGTCCATATTCTCATATAAAATGAACCATCAACTCAGTTGAATTAATTGTATGAGATTTTTAAATCTAAATTTGAGCCATTCTGACCAGACTGACCCAGTTGACTTCAGACCTTCTGAGGCCATATGAACTTATTAAATGTTACTGGTTTCTCAGGACTGCTTTGTCTTTACTTCCCAGAGTTCATTGAAGTTCATACTTTGTAAGTTTAACCATTTCAAAGACATTAAGAAAATATACTTAGTACAGAAAAATTACTTGCTCTAACAGCAGTACAGACCACAGCCTCCTGTCAGAAATGTCACTGATTAGATGCAGGCAGAGTGCACATACACTGATATTAATTTCCCTCTCAATTTTACAGAAATACAAAGACTACTGTTAAAAAAGAATCAATCTACTAAAAACATTGGATTCAAGAAATTATCTTACATTGTATTTTTATACTTTTCATGGCATAACATTGAATTTAAAAGATCTAAGTTTTTTTTTGGAACCAATGGCATATTTTGTTTGTTGAAAAGAAACTAAGAATATTATGAACTTTAATCCAAATTATGGTAGTAAGGGTTCAATTTCTCTTTTCCTACCTGATCATGTTTTAATTATGTGAGAGGAAGTCTCTACAAACTCTGCCCCCCCACCACCACCACCAAAAAAAAAAAAAAAAAGTGAATAATAGAAGTTGAGGGAAAAAATTTTTAAATGGGTATCTGACTTAAAATATCCAGATAGAACTAGATCAAATATCTAATAAATATAACAAAGTTATTATGATAGATGAACAAAGCATTCCAAATATCTAATTTAAGCAGCAAAGGGGGAAAATTGGAACCCCTAAGCATACCTTAAGAATTCTTTGAGGAGTTGGCATCAAATCAACACATATTTCATCGATGTGTCTCTTTCACATTGATGTTTTTCTCTGTCTGTCTCTCTCCCCCTCTCTCTCCCCCTCCCTCCCTTTTACTCTCTAAAATTCAATGGAAAAAAAGTATATCCTTGGATGAGGATTTTTAAAAAAAGTAGAACATTGTTGCTTTATTGTTCTAATTCTGTGATGTTTTATGTACTGATCTTAAACCATTTGGAACTCTCCTTTCACCATGTATCATTTGGTTTTTCGGTTTGCAAAACAGGAATTGTCTTTTTTTCTTTAAGCTATGTAAAAATGTGTACACACAGTAGAGTTATTTTTTTAGCTTAAAAAGGACCATTTTTCACCAATTTAGGTTCTTTATAAGAGTCATGTAAGTTCATCTAAGTTCCTTTTATTAATGGTAGAAACAAGTTCTGTGTAGCTTTTCTTATAAAGATGTGAAAAACTAAATGACTCTTTTTCTGAATTGTTGAGAATGGAATATTTCTTCACAAACAAAATGTTTGTTTGAACTATTCTTTTTAAATCTTACTTCCTTTCTATTAATACTTTCAATTGAGCATGAAAAGAAAATTATTTTTCCAGTACATTGACATTTACTAGAAGAGACATCTGTTGGCTTTGCAGTGGAGGTTAAGAGGTTTTCCTCAGAAATTATGCACCTACAATGAAAGATTTCTGTTACCTACCCCAGTGACTGTTTTGTTTTGCAGGCCACAGTGTGAGCACATGAATAGAAGAAGAAAATTCCTTCTTGCCTCTGTTCTTGCTCTCCAAAATTCAAGTTTTATATATCCTTCATGTCAAAAGTGCTTCTCTCGGATAATCTTCGTCTCCAAAAGGTAAAAGTAAAGCCTATAAACACGAGAGAGGAAATACAAGTCAGTTGCAAGCCAATTCAGGAAACAGAAACTCCCCACTTCCATTTTCCCACTGATACAACACAGCAAGTTTATGACAGAGGGATTCCATACTCAGCCCTTGCAAAAGATTTTATTTAGAGACACCAAAGAGCAAAAAGGTTACTGCCTAAAGATTTTCTTTAAACTCCAAATTCTTAGTGATAGCAACCATAATAGGTATTTAGTATTTTATGGGGTTAACTTTTTTCTTTTTATTTTAACGTCCAAGATTTAGAGCAGTGGTGGTTTGCAAATTACATTCTGCAGAGCCTTAGGGCTCTGTGCGTCTAGAGGGAGATGGGAGTTGAGCAGGAATAGTGGACAGTGCTGACAGGTGGATGGGCTCTGGGTCCCCACTTAGGTTCCAGCAAGAGCTCCATTCTCATCCTTCTATTAGGGTTACAAGATTTCATTTGAAAAGGTTCTGTGATGTAAGTAAAGATGTAGACACACAGATATACAAATATAAAAAATAGATGTATGGAAAGATTTTGATTGTTCATATAAGATTATCATATTCACATACATAAGTGTGTATATACCTATTGTACATATATGTGAATCTAATACTCTTCACATAAAGAACCAAATTAACTTTATTTTCATATATATGTATTGTGTATACTCTCCCAAAAATTATGAGCAAGGGAGGGGACTTATTTATCCAGATAAGCTATCTACCTAGCCCAAACAGATGTGAATTTCCCATCTAGGTTATTTAATGGGACCCACAGTTTCTTTAGTCTAGAAATCTGTCTCTGATACGCAGAACTTTCTTTTCCTGTCTTAAAATGTGAATCATGGCTCAGACTATCCACCTATCCTCTCTTCTATCCTTTCCACCAACCCCAACCACCCAAAAAGGTTGTATCATTTACTTAAACAAGTCAGATTGAATTTCACACACATCAATCATAGTTTTCTCCTTTTGAGGGAAAGTGGTATGTAAAGCCTTAAAGATATTTTTTTTTTAAGTTTTTTTCAATCACATTTACATTCAGTTTACATTTTATATTAGTTTACATTTTATATTAGTTTTAGAGTTTCAAGTGTACAGCATAGTGGTTAGATAATCATGAACTTTACTTCCCCTTGATATTTCCAGTACCCATCTGGCACCATACAGAGTTATTACAATATCATTGATTATATTCTTTATGCTGTACTTTATATCCCTGTGACTGTTTTGTAACTACCAATTTGTGCTTCTTAATCTCATCCCTTTTCAGGCAGTCTCCCAACCACACAGCCCCTCTAGCTACCATCAGTCTGTTATCTGTATCTATAAGTCTTACTCTGTTTTGTTGGTTCATTTATATTGTTTTAGATTCCACATGTAAGTGAAATAGTATGGTATTTGTCTTTCTCTGCCTGATTTATTTCGCTTAGCATAATAGCCTCTAGGTCTATCCTTGCTGTCACAAATGGTAAGATTTCATCATTCTTTTTTTATGGCCAAGTAGTAGTCCATTATACAGCATGGGCAAAGTAGGTTTATGGTTGTAAGTACACAAACAGTTTATTCTTGTACTATAATTTATTAATTATTGTACTACTTGTATTATAACTGTAAACCTACTTTTGTCTACCATATATATATACCACAGTTTTTTCATCCATTCATCTATTGATGGGCACTAGGGTTGCTTCCATTTTTTAAAAACATATTTTTTTATTACATTGTATACATTCAATTTAATATGGGATTATAAATTTGGAAAGGACATTGTGTAATCATTTACTGTAGGTATTCTTAACCTGGGAACTGTGACTAGGCTATTGATATACATGAATACTTCAGTCCCACATAACCACCACACATAAAGTATCATGTGTGGTGGTTATGTGTGCATTTTTCTGGGAGAGAGCACATTGCTTTCATTGGATTTTCAAAGAATTTCAAGACCAAGGCAACTAAGAGTCACTAATCTCACCACTTCTACTTCAGGGATATATATAAGTACACTAGAAAAATAAATAAGACACTATTTTAACTGGTATCCAAAAACAGTAGCAAATTTCAGGTATAATTTTAGACAAGTCTTTTCAGAGGCTTTTTGAGATCAAAACTATTTTCATTATTCTAAGGCATTATTTCCCTTTTTACTGTCATTCGCTTACAGTACATAATGGAGTTTTTAGTTTTCGAGAGACAACATGACGTGGTATCACATCAGATTGAGTGGGAAAGGAGATACAAGAATTCAACAGTCTTTATTAAACCAAACATTAAAGAGATTTGCAAAATATAACAGTGCCACTCTTCTCACTAATTTCTTTTTTGAAACATATATTTATATTCTATAAAACTATGTTCTTTTGGTTAACCATGCAATGGGTTTGTTATTTTTAATGTAATTAATAAATACTTTTTAGATTTATTTAATTTTTCTTTCATTTAATTTCTCATAGTCAGTTTAAAATATAAGTAGATATTACATAAGCAAAATCTCTGGTTTTCTGAATAATTTTTTAAGCATGTAAAGTTTGAAAACTACAATTCCATAATGAATGACATTTGGGAAATGGGGTTGGTTCTAGAAGTTAAATCTGGGGATTATAATTTGAATGTGTTGTCTCTACCCTTGCCTCCCAAACCATGGTTAGGGGAACAGCTGAATCAGTATCACCTGGGAGCTTGTTAGAAATACAGGATGTTGGCCCAGCCAGTGTGGCTCAGTGGTTGAGCATCGACTCATGTACCAAGAGGTCGCTGGTTTGATTCCTGGTCAGGGAACATGCCCAGGTTGTGGGCCAAATCCCCAGTGGAGGGCAGGCAGGAGGCAGCCAATCAATGTTCTCTCTCATCGATGTTTCTCTCTCTCTCTCTCTCTCTCTCTCTCTCCCTCTCCCTCTCTGTCTAAAAATCAATAAAATAAAATAAAAAATTTTTCAAAAGAAATACAGGATCTTGGGCATTGACCCAGACTTGTTGAATCAGAATCTTCAGTTTAACAAGATCCCCAGGTGCATATTAAAGTTCAAGCTCTGATACACATAACTCTATACCAACATTCATTTATTTCAATCCAGCCTTATTCCCAAAGGATTAAAAAATATATATTCATAATTGTCTTCATTATACATATATTGTATAAAACTACATGTAATTTAGTGTTTGTATGCATTCATGCTAATAAACCTAGTTTTTGTTAGGCTATCATTGATACTCTGTTTACAAGATAGTTCATTATTAACCATATTGTTCTTATAGTTATCATAAGACATCATGCAAGAAAAAACTGTAGGCTAGAAATCCAAAGCCTTGGATTTGGGTCATAAAAATGACCCAAACTTTGTCACCTTGGGCAAAAATTCACCCCAGTTGTCTCATATATAAATGGGAATAAATGGCCTTGTTTACCTGTCAGAGTGAAATAATGTATAATGCAAACATTTATAAACTTCAAAATGCTGATGCCTATTAACTATTCTAAGATTTGCTAAGAATTTTGCATGACTTGAATGCATTATTAATATATAACTTTTAAAGAGGTTGTATTTATGGCCAAACTACAACACAACTCCAGATTTGGGTAAGATTACATGAATGTGTTGGCACAAACCCATCTTCAGTGTAGCAGATAATAATAATAATAATAACAATAATAATAAGTAGCACAAATCTAATTATGAATCAATAACCTTTATGAAAAATTAATCTGTTGAAAGTGGTCACCTTGGTAGCTGTGGAGTTTCGGCTCCCCCTAGTGGCTCTCTGGCAGCAGGCAAAATTTTACAGTTATCTTCATTTTCTCTATGCTTTTTTAAGCTAGATCGATTTTCAACCGATATACCATAAGAATTTCTAAAACATACCTGACTATTTAGTCAGGGGCACTAACTTCTTTTTCTTTAGATTGTCAAATAAAAAAATGACAACAGCCAACACAAGAGCCATCTGGTGTGAATGAATCAAAATTATACCTTTTTTTTTTGTCAGATAGGCAAAATATATCTTTTTTGGTATGCTGCAGGATTTTAGTGATTGGTTTAAGTGTGCCATGAGATGAAAAAGGTTGACAATCATTGAGCAACACACACACAAAAAAACAAAGTCCTAAGATTAACCATTACTGTAAGATGTTTTAATTGGTCAGTTAAGAATGTAAGTTGTAAGACCTGATTGCAAAGAACTAGAAAGGAGGGAAACAGTAAAAGTGACAATAATCATCACAATTTTTAATATATAAGAAAGAAGCAGACTATTATTAATTGGCAAGATCTGCAGTAGATCTTTACTTTTTTTTCTTATACTTTGTCTCCTTTTATCCTTTTTCAGTTCTGAATTTTACAGATGAGGAAATCAAGGTTTAAGGGATTTAGTAATTCTGCCAAGACAAGATATTTAGAACATGACAATAAAGTTAACACTCAATACATAGTTTTTGACCAGAAAGACCTTGGCCGTAATTACACATTGCCTTAAAAACAAGTTAAATAAGATGTTTTGTACATACTTTTTGTAATCTGATAAATTCTTAGCATATTTCAGTGAATTAAAGAAAGTAAAGTTATTTTTATAATGGTGGAAAAAATGTAACTGGATTCTCTATATAAATTTTAATTAACTGTTTCAAGATTATTTATTATGTTTTAATAGAAAATAGACATTAATTTTCAGGTCTTCTGTTGGTGTGGTATTTACTTCATTATATTTAGTTTGCACACCTTCAACCCCAGTCTTTAATGTGCCTCACTTTGTGATGATTTAGCTACCCAGTAAGAGCATAAGAACACCCCTCCCCCCCACACACACATAGTTTCCCTTCACTTTTCTGTCAGTTCAGTGCTACTCATTCAAATCAGTGAAGGCAGCTGTTATGAGTAAAGAAATTCAAAAGAGATTGATCTGAAATAGTTTAATAAGAATGTAAGTTGTGTAGGAATTTTTTTTTTTATCCCCACCTGAGGACATTTTTTCATATTTTGTTCAGATAGCGTGGGAGGGAGAGAGAGAGAGAGAGAAACATCGACGTGAAAGGGACACATTGAGTTGGCTGCCACCCGCACGACCCAACCAGGGCCGGGGACAAACTGCAACCGAGGTACATGCCCTTAGCGGGAACCGAACCCAGGTCTCTCGGGACCGCAGGCCGACGACGCTCTAACTGCTGAGCCAAACCAGCCAGGGCCAAAATATTATTTTTAATTTTTACTTTTCCAGATTTGTTTCTCATTCTATGAAAAAAATTAGTGAGCACTTCTATACTTTTTTTCTTCCACTTTTCCAGGTCTAATTGTCCAAAATGTGGTTCTACTGGTGAATCTGAAAATGCCAGTTACAGATATAAACTTTCCATAAAAGTTGCAGAATCAAACAAATTATTTGGCATTACTGTTTTTGGAAGCTGCTTAGATGCATTTTTTGGTCTTACAGCCACTGATTTGCACAGGTAAGATTATCTAAAGCATTTTTTTCCTAGCTACTCCTTTGGTGTATTAATAGGATTTGAAGATATGTGTTCTTAAAGTAACAAGCATTTAGTAAAAAGACCGCTCAACCTCAGATCGTCAGTTTCTTTAAAAGATAATCAAGAAATAGATGTTCCGCCCTGGCCGGTTTGGCTCAGTGGTTGGAGAGCCAGCCTGTGGACCAGAGAGTCCCGGGTTTGGTCCCTGCTAGGGGCACGTACCAAAAAAAAAATAAAAAATAAGAAATAGATGTTCCTTTCCTGGATACGTATTGTGATCATATTAAACCAGGCTCCTTTTATTCAGGCCAACTAAACTGTAATTAGAATATTAATTTTTAAAACTCTAATACTAAAGTTAGAGAACACAGAATAAGAAAGTAAAATTGTTTCAAATTGAGATTTATACTCAAGTGGCTAATGTTCCTTGAGGCAGAAGCTGCCATTTGTGCGAGTATTTGTACACCAGAAGTTGAAATTTTGTTATTTCTTTCACTTGCATTACACTTCACCTGCATAGTTTGACCTATTATGATGTTGTCCTGAGAATGCAAGGGGAGAGATATATATAAACAGTCTTCTACCCTCCTCCCCTAATCCCTGAACAGAAGAAATGTCTATCTCCTCCTTGTTGAGAGCAAACTCATTTGAAGAAAGAATAGCAGAGGGATCACAGCCAGGTTTGCCAGGGAAGAGGAAAGACTTCCCTCTGCTTTGAGGAGAAGGGCTAGAGATCCCACCACTACTTCCACTGCTACTTTTAAAATAATTGCTGGGCCTGATTATGCATCTGCCTTATTCACACTTGATCAGTTGTTTTTATCTAAGCTATGGGAAACAAGAGGGAACAAAATGCCTAACTCAGAAAGTCCATGCTGCATTCTCAAACTAATTGTATCTTCTGACTTTATGGAACTTAAAATGTCAAAGTTTATCTCTTTACACTTTTTTCCCCCCATTCAAGGTACATGCAGGATCCTAAGGAAATTCCAGCAACACTAGATAGTCATGCAACTCAGAACCTATTAACTAAAGCGGTTGAAACTTGTTTTGTTGGACAGCGCTTTATTTTTGGAGTGACGGTAATTAAGACTAGCTTGCTTTCTTCTATCGGTTGTTAACATTTCCACTGTAATGAAATTATTTGAATTCTCTAAATAGTTTTTAGGAGTCATAAATGTGAGAGAACTTTAGACTGTACAAAAATAGGCTACAGGTGATCTGTTAAAACACCATGTGTGACAACTTCTTCTTTCAAAAGTCAAAAGAGCCTAGTTTAAATGCTTTCAAGAGCTTTAAAAATCTAACTTTACATAATTCAGAAGTGTTAAGTATTTGCTTATCTGCATATTGATAACTTTAAGAATAGATTAAGAAGGATGGTCTTAAATAATTATAAAAGTGACAATAGATGTTAAAAAGAATGTACTGACTTTAAAGGCATAATCGTTTTCTCTGTGCTACCTGTGCTAAAGGTAACAATTGGAAATTTTATCCACATTGGAATTGGGTTTTAAAAACAGGAAGAGAGCAATCTCTAACTGAACAGTGAAAAAGACCCAAAGGGAAGGGAAGGTCAGGAGCTACAGAGCTTTTCTTTGTTAATACCTTAGTTATTTATTTAAAAAAAAAAAAATTTGAGAACATTCCCTTAAGCACTCAAAGTTTATGGAAGCTAATGACAAATATAATAGCTCTCATTTATTGAGCAACTACTATTTGCTAAGCATTGCAGTTTTCCATGTGTTACTGTAAATACAATAATCCTGTATTTTTTTAATCTCTATTTTATCAGTGAGAAAACTGAGGCTCAGAAAGATTAAATACCTTGTTCAAAGTCACAACATTAGTAAATGTTAGAACCAGGATGTGAATACAAGTCTCTTTACTTCGAGGTTTACTTCTCTTACTTATACTACTTATTTTAAAATCTCTGTTTCACATTCTAGTCAAAGGAAGAATGTTTTATTCTCATTTAAATTCATTGACTTCTTTCACAGAATTTTGAAAACCAACACGGGCAAGGTTCAGATTCCAATAACTTCTTAGAACAGTGCCCTGGCCACAGGAGAGAAATTAAAGAGCTAGTAGCGTGCCAGATTATCCTGCCAGACCCGGATGTTGCAGGCTTCACTGTCATTGACTATTTCCGGCAGCTTCTGCGGTCATCTGATTTTAGGAAACATCATGGCAACTCCCAGACACCTAATAGCCACTTACTGGCTTTAGAACACTCAGGTGGTGATCTCAGCAGTATATGTGGCATTGACAGCAGTTCCTGTCTTTTTGAGTCCCATGGCAGGGGTAATTTTTTAATATTTTGGCAGCCATCACTTGAACTCAATTCCATTGTTTCACAACTAACAGATGATAATGATTTTTCAGCTTCAGAACAAAGCAAGGCCGTTGATACTCTTCACCCAAACAGAAAGTCCATTTCCTTGGCAGAGGCCACTGGTTCCAGTGGTTACCATGATGCCGTTCAGTGTTCATGGAGCCTTGTTTCATACATGGATAAAAAGAGCACAGCACAAAAGGTGGGTGAAGAACTTGACTTCCCAGCTAATCAGCCAAGTATAGTTCACAGCAGCCATCATGAACTTGGAGTTACTGATTCTAATTCATTCCCCTTGGAAATGGAAGAGCCCTGTGAGCCAAGTAATACAAAATCCTTCCACAGTGCAGTGGAAATTAAAAAGAGGTATTCCCAGTGTGAGCTAACATATCATCAGCATCATGATGTCAATAATCCCCTGAGCCTTCAGGAAAGATCTACGTGTTGTCCACCTACATTACTCCAACCTGAAGAAATAGCTGGTGGTCCCCAGAATTATGACCCCAACATTTGGGATGACCTGCCACTCTCTGAAAGCTTAAACGCATTTATGGCAGTTATCGAAAGTGAGATTGCTATAACCCAGACAGATGCCAGCAGTAGGAAGCGTCATCTAGGTGATGGCATCGATAAATTACATGCAGACCACAACAGTGTATCTGTGACTCCCCAGAGACCTAATGGAGCCTTGCATACACCACTTATAGCTTTAAGATCATCACAAGCAATAGTCAAAGCAAACTCTGGCAAAGGTAGCTTCCTTTCCAACCGTGAAGCAAATCCAACTCCTAGTGTTCAGAAAGAGTCAAAACCAGATAACACAGCAGAGGCTGTCTCTATAAGTAGAAATGAAAGAGATATGTTTGAATGTTTTCTATCAAATGCTTATTCATCAGCTCTGCTTCCATCTTCAAAAAGTTTAGGAACAACCCCTACTCTCAGGAGGTCTACCAGAATTCCACCACGTAGGGCTGCGATTTTACATATGCACAATACTTCAGAGAGTGACCATTCTTGTCTTAATATCAAATGTTTTAATGGATGTGGACAAAAATCGCTTTTGGAAATGAGTGAAAAGTTGACAACTTTGTGTTCCAGGAGGTATAATGATGTTTCTGGCCTTGGCAACTTAGAAAATAAACAAGATGGTAGGTGGCCAAAGAACCAAGGTGACAGTCTTACAATTTGCAGGAAACTTAACTATTCCTTAGAAGCTCTTTGCAGTAGTCCAAATAGAAGTACAAATACATTGGAAAAAATGCCTTATAGACATACCAATTTAACACAGAATAATTTTCCTGGTCATGAAGGTAGCTACAATGCTTCTGCTGATCTCTTTGATGATAGTCCTAAAGAAATGGACATGGCGACAGAAACCACCAAAAAATCACAGGATATTTTGTTACAGTGGGGAAAGCCTTTGGCAGAAAGTCATCATATAGAATCTGATTTTTCATTGAGATCACCTTCTGAAAACTCCAGGCAATCTTCACAAAAAGTATTCTTGCAAAACATGTCTGCCTCCATGTATCCAAAAACACGCTCTTCACCACATATTTCATCAGATTTAGAAAGTGATTTTGAAGACAGCCAAGACTTTGTTCCATGTTCACAGTCAACTCCTATTGCAGGATTCCACCAAACAAGAATTCATGGGATGAAAGGAGCTTTCAAGAAATTACCTGCCTTTTATTCAGCTCTTGATACTAACTATAAAAAAGCAAGGATTTCCTCTGAAAATGAGGCACAGCAAGCCACTCCTAGGTGTCTAAAAAATATAAAACCACCCAGCCAGAAAAGCCCTGTTATGCCTGCTATTACACAACCAGAGGTTTTCAACAGCTATCCTGTTGCTGAGTGCCTTGAATCTGACATTGATGAATGGGTCCCTCCTAGCACAAAAAAAGCATTTCTTTCAGATGTGCTTGGATCCCAAGCCATGGGTCTAAGAAAATGCCTTGCTGCCTGTAATTCTAATCAAAATGTGTTACGGAGAAAGAAACTGAAACATGTCAAACAAAGAACCAATAAACCTTTAATTAAGAAGGAGTTACATTTACAGAATACACTTACAGCGGTGGTTACAAACCAGAAAACTCCTAACTGTAACAGTACACGCTCAGGCTGGATTTCCAAAGACTCAGTTGGTTCTTGTCCGGAAGTCAGATGTTGCCTTTCATTTTCAGAAAATTGGCCACCTTCAGTGCCTGAAACTCAAAGTGCTTGGTCTCCTGAATTGTTTTCATAAAATGTCATCTGAAGCCAGTGGTTGAACCTTTAACAGTAAGTATGTTTGGAAACTTGCCTCCACTGGCATGGAAAGCATTCTTACCATTTTGAACACTTGAAGAGACACAAATAGAAAAGAGATGCTATTATGCCTGTTAAAATGTTTGTAAAGCAATTGTTTTTCTGTTTTATCCTGAACACTCTGATTCAGATAATTTGGCACTTGATATTTTTTATTGTACTTTAGTAATATTGTTGGTTTTGCTTGTTAAAATTATTTATTGAACTCACATGAACATTCAGAAATAAAGCCTTCATAAAACAGAACTTAAAATTCTTATTAATTTTTCAGCTCAGCTCAGAAAATGCCTGTTGTGTATTAGGCCAAACTACTGTGTCAAGTTTGTGATAACAAGCTACAGGATCACTGATGTCAACAGATTTTATTCTACTGGGTAAGACAGGCAGTTTCTTTCTTTTTTTTTTTTATCCTCACCCAAGGACATTTTTCCCTTTTTTGTTCAGGTAGAGTGGGAGGGAGAGAGAGGAACATCGATGTGAAAGGAACACATCAAGTGGCTGCCACCCGCACAACCGACCAGGGCTGGGGACAAACTGCAACCAAGGTACATGCCCTTAGCGGGAACCGAACCCGGGTCTCTTAGGACTGCAGGCCGACGCTCTAACCGCTGAGCCAAACCGGCCAGGGCGAGACAGGCAGTTTCACTACAGTGCAGCAAATGCAATGAAAGAGATTTTTAATGGGTATTACAGACATTTATGTTGCTATGGGACTGTGATGAAGAAGCAGTTAACCCCGCAGGATCTGAGCTGAGGATAAGAAGAAAGGTCAGTAAGAACTGACTAGGGTTAAAAGTGAAACTGTCACTATTTTATTTAATAAATATTCACTATATGTTTACTACGTTCAGGTGCTGGGAACACAGAGATAAAAGCCAAGGCCCTGGCCAGTTTGGCTCACTGGTCCAGAGACAAGCCAAGCCCCTTCCCTCAAGAAAGTCATGGTCTAATAGAGTAAACAAACAATTGGTATCTGATAAGTTCTGTGATTGGAGATAAGCTTGAAGTACTGATAGGAATAGGACTCAGGAGCAGTTTCTAGACACACAGGTCCTTAGCAGTGCATCCGCTAACCCGTTAGCTGTGAAGCCTTTGCTGTCTCTGTTCAGCTCCCTTTGCCACTCCCCTCAACAGCTAGACCAAATCTTCATTCTCTTCATGCCACCAACCCGCTAATACTCTTCTTGCCTCCTCCTTCATGGAGAAGATGGAGATCACCTGGTATTTCCTTAGCTTCCCATGCCCACACCTACTCACTTGTCTGTGTCTCTACTCACCTCAGCTTCTTTTCTCTATCTCAGAAAATGCTGCACACCTTCTGTTTAGTGCTGATCTTTCTAGTATTTGGCTGTTAATCAATTTTACCCATCTTTACCTTCTCACTCTATTGTTGCTCTCCCTCTCCCCAACTTTGTGTTTTGAAAATTTACAAACAAAGAAGAGATGAAAGACTAGAACAGTACATTGGTATAGCATCTACACATACCACTTAGATTCAGTTATGTTTAACGTTTTGCCTTATGCATATGTGTGTATTTGCTTTCAATATATCTGTAGATCTATTTCGGTGTGCTTTTTTTTTTCCTTTTTTCTTTTTTTTTTCTTTTATTGATTATAGAGAGAGAGGAAGTGAAAGGGGGAGAGAGAGAGAAACATCAATGAGAGAGAACATCGATTGACTGCCTCATGCATGCCCCCCACTGGGGATCAGGCCCACAACCTGGGCATGTGTCCTGACCTGAAATCAAACCTGTGACCTCTTGGTGCATGGGTCAATGCTCAATCACTGAGCCACACTGACTGGACTCTACTTCATTTTTGCTGAACCATTTGAATTTAAGCTGCATATAGGACATTTCATCCCTAAATACTTCAACATAAATTTTCTTAAAATAAAGACTTTAACTACATAACTATTACACTATTATTATCACACCAAAGAATAATAACAGTAATTCTCCATACCTAATATTCAGCTCGTATTCAGATATTTCTACTTGTTTCTAAATTGTCTTATAATTGTAGTTGATGTTTATCCAGGATTTTGTTGAGGTTTGTCCATGGTATATGGTTATGTCTCCAGTCTTTTTTTTTCTAGAATTCTTATCCTCTGCCACATTAACTTTATGAAAAATTTAGACCACTGTTTTATAGAATGTCGTACATTTTAGATTTATTTTTTTTTTTAATCTTTATTGTTGAATGTATTACAGATGTTCCTCATTTTCCCCCATTGACCCTCTTCTCCCCACTCCCACCCCCCTCCCGCCTTTTCCCACACTATTGTCTGTGTCCATTGGTTATGCATATAAGTTCTTTGGTTTATTTCTTCCCACGCCCCTACCCCTTTCCCTTTGAGGTTTGTCAGTCTAGCAATGAATTTGTACTTCTTAATCCCCTCACCTTTTTCACCCATTCCCCCAACCCCCCTCCCATCCGGCAACCAACAAAATGTTCTCTGTATCTATGAGAATGTTTCTGCTCTGCCTGTTCATTTTGTCTGTAGATTCCATTGTTGATAGATATGTATTCATTGCCATTTTGTTTCTTCATATATTTTATCTTTTTCTTCAAAAAGACCCTTCATCATTTCATACACTAACAGTTTGGTGGTGATGAACTCCTTTAACTTTTTCTTGTCTGGGAAACTCTTTATATGGCCATCGATTCTAAATGACAGCTTTGCAGGATAGAGTAATCTTGGTTGTAGGTTCTTACTTTTTCATCACTCTGAATATTTCTTGCCACTCCCTTCTGGCCTGCAAAGTTTCTTTTGAGAAATCAGCTGACAGCCTAATGGGAACTCCCTTGTAGGTAACTAGCTGCCTTTCTCTTGCTGCTTTTAAGATTCTCTCTTTGTCTTGAACCTTTTGCATTTTGAAGATGATGTATCTTGGTGTGGGCCTCTTGGGGTTCATCTTGTTTGGGACTCTCTGTGCTTCCTGGACTTGTATGTCTGTTTCCTTCACCAAGTTAGGGAAGTTTTCTGCCATTATTGTTTCAAACAGGTTTTCGATTTCTTGTTCTCTCTCTTCTCCTTCTGGCACCCCCAAGATGTGACTGTTGGCATGCTTGAAGTTGTCCCAGAGGCTCCTTACACTATCCTCATTTTTTGGGATTCTTTTTTCTTTTTGCTGTTCTGATTGGACATTTTTTGCTTCCTTATATTCAAAATTGATGGTTTGCTTCTTGGATTTACGTACTCTACTATTGAATCTGTGTAAAATATTCTTTATTTCAGTTAATGCCTCCTTCATTTCTGACTGTGCATCCATCATTTCTGACTGGTCCTTTTTTATGCTCTTGAGGCCCTCACTAAGTTCACTGAGGTTCTCACTGAGTTCATTGAGCATCCTTATAAGCAGTATTTTGAACTTAGCATCTGTTAGGTTGCTTATCTCCATTTCGCTTAGTTCTCCTCCTGGGGTTTTGTTCTGTTCTTTCATCTGGGACCTGTTACTTTGTCTCCTCATTTTGGCTGCCTCCCTGTGTTTGTTTCTGTGTATTACTTAATGAGCAGTATGGGGCTAGCTGAGACCAGATGCTGCTCGTTTGAAAGAATTTAGGAAAACCTGAAGCAGGATCCAAGACACACCAATCCTATGGTTAAGTAACTGGCACCAGCTTGGTTGGGCCTGAAAGTTGGGTGGGGCGGGGCCTCAGGGAATCACCAGGGCGGGGCTACCAGTGTGAGCCAGGTTGCTGGAGTCCCAGATATGGTGACTGCCGCCCCAGGGAAGGGCTCACCAAAGGAACAAAGGCCTCTGACAGCAGGTTTGTCTTGGAGAAAGCCCCCTGTCCAGCCCTCGCTCCAGTGCCAAACAGCTCAGTTTTTCCCTGTGTGTCTCTGGCGTCCCTCGAGCTGCCTCCCCTCCAAGCTTAGAGGGAGAGAGTTCGATAAGTCTGTGTGCGGGCCCTTTAAGGAGCTGCCTGAGGCTCCAGCTGCGTCAGCTTCCCTGAGCCTCAGTTCCCGCTGGTTTTTCCAGCCAGAAGTTATGGGGACTTCTCCTCCTGGCACTGGAACCCTGAGCGGGGCACCTGGTGTGGGACGGGGACCCCCTCAGTCCTCAGGGAGGACCTTCCCAGCCGAGGTATCCTGATTTTTATCCGCCACACATGGGTGTGGCGCCAGCCGTCATGCCTCCGCCCCTCCTACCAGTCTGGATGTGGCTGCTGCTTTAATTCTGTAGTTGTAGGACTTCCATCAGCTTGATTTCAGGCGGTTTTGAATGATGGTTGTTCTGTAGTTTAGTTGTAACTTTGATGTGGTGGTGGGAGGACGCGATACCGCTTTTACCTACACCGCCATCTTGACCGGAAGTCCTAGATTTATTTATTTGCTTCATTCTCATGTCTTTCTGTCCCCCAGTATTTCCTGTAAATACAGTGTTGCCCATCAGACCTCTCCATGGTAAAGGTACATATGTTTTTACTTTTTAAAACTCAAGAGTCAGTATTATACTTTCCTACCAGTAGTGTTGAATGAGTTTTCTTTTCCTTCTATCACTATGTACTCAATCATTTTTTTCAATGATTTACAGTCTGTTATACTTGTTTTTCTTTTTAATGCTCCGTGTAATACTCCCTGCTACCTCCCTGCTAGTACTCTTGTTCATAGCCAGTCTACTTTTAAAAATACTGTCAACTTACCCTGGCCTGTGTTCCTCAGTGGTTAGAGCATCAGCCCAAGCACTGAAGGGTCACAGGTTCAATTCCCAGTCAATGGCATGTACCTGGGTTGCCAGTTTGATCCCCAGCCCTGGTCAGGGTGTGTGGGTGAAGCAGCCAATCAATGTGTTTCTCTCACAGTGATGTCTCTCACCTCTCTTTCTCTCTCTCTCCCTCACCCCTTCTTCTCTCCCTCCCTTCCACTCTCTCTAAAACTCAATGAAAAAAATATCCTTGGGTGAGGATTAACAAAATATAAATAAATACAAAATACTGTCAACTTAAGCACC